CTCTCAGGTTGAGAAACACTGGTCCAGACAATGGGTTAATTCACTAATCCGGTTCAGGGTGTTGGTGAATGCCATTCCTGGTCACCTGTTGGGCTTGGATGGGTGAATTCAGACTCTGTCTTGAGGTTGGTGAGCAGCAGGATTCACTGCAAAGCACCCTGAGACCAAAGCACATGTGCAATGGTGCGGTTGCGTAAAGGCTGGGATGACATCCTTGTGTCCCAGCGTCCGCCCTGAGGACATCAGTTGTAACCTTCGTGTAATGATGCCATCATCCAGGTTTCATCATCTGCCCCCGGAGGATGCCCTGCAGATAATTAACTTGAGGCTGAGCCATGGAGAATTCCTTGTGGGCTTCTGATGCAAACCTGCTAAAAAGGAAGGGAGGAAGGAGGGCTTTCTCCTTAAGTTTAATGAGACAGGGCCGCCTTCATCAAAGCAAATTTAATCAAGAGGCAGTGCAGACAGAGGGAGGGGAACACATCCACGACTAATTATTCTGCTTAAGAAAATTCTTCTAGGGTTGCCCAAAGGAGGCAAGATTGAGGTAGTCCAATTTAGACCAGCTCTAGTTTTGGCATTTGTCTGGCTCAGACCTGTCCTTCTTTCAAGACTTTGATCCTTGCCACCATTATCATATGAAATGAGGCTAATTTTCCAGGGAATTGGCAAAGGGCTGTGGGGATAGTCACTAAGAAATGTAGATTTCTCCTTTAGTTAATAACCCCATAGCTGAAATGGGCTTTTCATGTATTGGGACTTGGTGAAGGGGCTTTGGGGTTAGAGGAGGATGGATGGGCTGGTGGACCCCAACTCTTAGCATCCTGCAAACCTGGATAATTTTTTTTGTGTGTATTTATGTATTACTCCAGTAATGTTACAAGCTCATAACATTTGTAATATTTCGTTACCATAACATTGTTACACCTTATTACTATATAGCGTAGGCTCATTCTGGATTCAACAAAATTGTGATTCAGCCCACTGTGCATTTAAAATTCAAATTTTGTCCATGATTTTTCAACCATTGCTATAGACCCTACCTTTGAATTCCATTTTTCAATTGCTCAATCGTCCAAAAGTTTGACTTATTCTAGTTTAGGCAGCTAAAAGTAAGAATATAATATGTTTGTTATTAATCAACATAGGGTCCTCTCCCTCAAATATATGTAATAAGCCCAACTCAAGAACAAATTCTACTTTTTCTTTAATTATAGACCTTACTTCCCAGAAGATTTTGGCCAGAATGATGCATGCTTTTCACAGGTCCACCCCATAAGAAGAAATGTACTCTTCTTTTTACATCCCCTCCCACATTTATTGATTAATTACTAGATATATAGATTAAACCTGTATGGTGGCCAAGAGGTATCCCACTGGTTTCCATAAATTCTGCCAGTCCCTTTCTTCCATTCATTTACCTAAATTTATATTCCAAACTTCCCGCAAACCTGGACAGTTAAGAGTCATCCTGGGGCTGTAATTGTGAGGCTTGGAGGCCCACCAGCCTCCTGCTTTCAACTCACAGATAAGTCCATCCAATAAGATCTCTGTATACTTTAGCTTCTGACATATGTCTAACCACGGGATATTTTATAGGTGGTCATTTGAACCCTGCCGTCACCTTTGCTATGTGCTTTATGGCCCGGGAACCCTGGATCAAGCTTCCGATTTATGCCCTAGCCCAGACCCTTGGGGCTTTTCTAGGGGCAGGCATCGTGTACGGCTTATACTTTGGTGAGTAAATTAAAGCACCTCTTTCTTCCTTGGCCTCATGGCTTGGGTGTCTCTTTCAGCTTACATCTTCATCCATGTGGCCCCAACCTCCTTTTCTCCAAGGGACTTGGGAAGTAAAGGGACACATTGTACGAGATCAGAGACCTTGCAGTCCATGGGCAACAACCTTGGATTCTTTTCTGGGCAAATGTTATCATTGCCACTGAGCTTAGTGGGAATTGACCACTTTCTCTCCAACTGCTCCCAGGGCATTTAACAAAGAGTGACTTAATGTACATTAAAGGAATAAGGAAGTTGAAATTAACATGGATTCTGTCCAAGGCCCTGTGCCAGGTTATTTTGGGGAAGTGATGTAGGCTCATTCTTGTCTATATTGTCTTTTGGCTATCAGAGCACAAGTCACTTTGGCATTGCAACTCACATTTTATCCCCAACTCTTCCACCCAAAAGTGGTCCTTCACCCCAAGTATCAGAAATTTTAGTCTGTGACTTTCTGTTATGCAAAGTCATACATCATCAGTGATCTATAGTTTGTCCCCCAAATCCTTTTAACAGAGTTGGGGATTTGCGGAGAGAATGACTGCTACTCATAATCATAAGAGCTTCAGAGATTGACCACTATAGAAGCAGAAGGCTGATCTGATCCTGCAGATCTCTGTAGGTTCTTACGGTAGAATTCCTTGGATATTCCAGGACAACAGTTGATTCACACATCATGCTAAGCCATGATTTTAAGCCCCTGTGTGCTGAATAAGCTATCTTGCTGGGTTCAAATGATACCCTAAACTGAATCTACACAAATCACATGAGGGCTTTGCATTGTGTGTGAACTCACCTTTTGAAACATTTACAAGGCATGTTTTAATACTGGCTGGTATTAGAAGTTTATGTGACTAGATCTTCATTAGATAGCCAATGTGGATAATGGTTAAGGTGTTGGAAAGGAACTGGGAGATCTAGGTTTAATCCATCCTCAGCTATGGAAATTCATTGGATGACTTTGGGCCAGTTGCTCTTTCTCTACCTGTCTCAACCTGACAGGGTTGCTGTTGTAGGGATAAAGTGGAGGGAGACTTCCACACAAGACCTTCTGAGCTCCTGGAGAGAAGGTGGGAACATAGGATGGATAGACAGACAGACAGACAGACAGACAGACAGACAGACAGTATAATTTGAGATCTTGATAGCAGGAAATGTCTCTACTCACTAATATTAAATGGGTAATGCATCAACTTGGAATGTGCTCAACAGCACTTGAAAAGTACATAATAAAGGGAGGGCACGGTCTGAATGTGCTGGCGATGGAAAACAGATAAAAGGACGCTCATTAAGCACTCAGTAGTTTCATAGGTTTTGTGATCAGCCCATTATAACTTAATAAGAGAGTTACCTAATCCAACTCTAAAGAGATTACAGCAATTATAAAGGTCTCGACAAAGTGGCCCCATCTACAGAATATCTCTACAAGATTGTCAGACCATAATATGCCAGTTGACAAATAATAATATGGTTCCAGAGTTTGGGCCTCGGTGTCTTAACAGCGAAGCTAATCACGTCTCTACCTCTTGGCATGGTAATGAGTTCCTTTGCCTCCAAGTTCCTGAAAACTATCTAGGTAATTCATATCACCATCAGAAGAGGGGGTGGAATGCTAGCTCTCCATTTTTATGGGGAGATGTACCTGGTTGAGATGTGCTCAACTAGGCACATCTCCTCATAGAAATGGAGAGCTAGCATTCCACAACTTGTCTGCAATAATGCGGAATTAATCCCTCTGGTTTTAGCCCTTTTCGGACCCAATGAGCTTCTCGGACCCACTGAGTTTGGGCATCAGGTCCCAACATGACTTCCAGATTAGCTAAACTCAAACAAACAAACAAGAGCATTTCTTTTTGCGCAATTCCATCTTAACTGTGGTAGGTAGGGAAATGTTTAATTTATATTGTATTGTGCTCCATCTAACCTGTTGGCATCAAGTCTCATGGAGCTATTAACTTTAAAATAGGCTGATTATGATGGACATCAAAGAACTAAAGTGCTTTTGAAGACTCTTTGTTTACCAGGGCAACACTCAAAGCTCCTTACTGTGATGGGAACAGTAAAAATGCTGTATTATCTTCATGGATATTCCCTTGCTGAGGGGTGTCTGTTGGGGTGGTCCAAAAAATCAAGATGGGAGCTGCAATGGCATGATCAAAGACCTGCCTCATTTTTACCTGTGTTTCACATGTGATACATGTAACAAAGGGGCACGGCTTTAATGCTCCTCCTCCTCCTCCCTCAGATTAAGATGAAGCTTCCTCTTTGGGTGACTGGGAAGGAATTCTGGGTAGTTTCATTCAATTGTCTGTTTTGATCCCTTTTTTTAGATGCCATCTGGGCTTTTGGTGACAACCAACTCTTCGTATTGGGCCCCAATGGGACTGCTGGCATCTTTGCTACCTACCCATCTGAGCATCTGAATTCTGTGAATGGATTTTTTGACCAGGTAAGGCACAAATGATCATATTTGGGGCCCATTATGCAAAGTCTCACTCTCTTGAGAAGGCAGCACCAAGATGGAGGGATGGCCATGGTTGGGGACAGATCGTCCTGGGAAAGGTCTAACTGCGTGGTCACTTAGAGTCAACAATCACTTGATGTCACACACTCTGTCAATCAAAGCTCAGAAGCCTGGCATAAGCCATTGCAAACTAGCCATTTGTTTTAATGGCCAACCAGAATTGGATTGGGGAGGTGGCACTGGAGAAATGTTAGTTTTTGGATGGGATAGCACCAGGAAATTCCAGGACTGTAGACTGGGAAATTGAAAATCCATACCAGAAAAAAGGTAATGGCTTATTTTTCCATATCTCAGCAGATAGTTCCCTGTACTGAGAAGCTAAACTCAGTTAGGCCTCATTAGCATTTGGAGGGGAGACCACCTGGAAATTCCAGGGCTGCAGGATAGACTGGGAAGTCAAAAAACACCCCAAAGAAGGGAATGGCAAACTACTTCTGTGTCACTGTCAAGAAACTATCAGGAGGTGAGCTCATCTCAAAAGGGTATTTCTTTGAGAAACACAAATTGTAATCGCCTTCTTTCTACCCTTTTTCTTCTCAGTTCATTGGCACTGCAGCATTGCTGGTTTGTGTTCTGGCCATTGTGGATCCTTACAACAACCCTGTCCCAAGAGGGTTGGAAGCATTTACTGTTGGCTTCGTCATCTTGGTTATTGGAACATCCATGGGGTTCAATTCTGGTTACGCTGTCAACCCAGCCCGAGACTTAGGGCCCCGTCTCTTCACAGCCATTGCTGGCTGGGGTACCGAAGTTTTCACGTAAGTGGCTTTTGCATGTGGTGAACCTTCCTTAGAGAGGGTTCAGACGCAAGTCAAGGGACCATCCTTGTATTTGCTGTTGGTTAAGTTTGCAGCAAGTAATTTGTCTTGGAACTGAGCTCAGCTTCTGGTGGCTTATAAGGTCCACATCCAAGGCATCTTCTTGCCATGATGCACAGGGTATATATTTAGGCTTCTCTTTGAGAAGTAAAAGAATACATACCATCTTGCTGAAGAGAGCCCTGTTGAGTGAATCACTAATCAGAGTGTGCTTCCTGAGAAGAAAGACACAGCCGTGGTAAAGCAGAAGCCCCTGAAAGGGTTCAACCGGGAGACTCCTCTGAAGAGCTGAGGCTCAAAAGATCTTGAGAAACCATGTTCAGTGCCACAGGAAATTTCCAGAAGGCACAGTGGGTGAGATGGGGTGTGGTAATTGATGAACAATGCCATTCTTAAGGATCGCCCAATGAATCTGAGGATTATGTGGAGGCTATAGTTTTGCTGGGTCCCATCCGTAAGCTGATAGCCCGGGATCCTAAAAGTCAGTTTTACTTTTACAATGCAGTGAAAAGAGAAGGATAAGGCAGTTTAAAGCAAAGCAAAAGAGGAAAGCCAAGCCACTATGGTCTTGAAAAGTATGAAGAGAAATACAGTAAGTCAGACGTGGTGATGGGAAGAGAGGAGACAAATCCAACTGCATTTCATCTCACCTTTTCTTCTGCTTGTGTCTTGCAGCACTGGTAGGCACTGGTGGTGGATTCCCATCGTTGCTCCTTTCCTTGGTGCCATCGCAGGTGTTATGGTCTACCAACTGATGATAGGGTGCCATGATGAACCACCTCCCGAGACCAGTGACGAGGAAAACGTCAGGCTGTCCAAGGTGAAGCAGAGGGACAATGTCTGAAGCTGCTGAGCAACACAGTTGTTCCTGGGACATTAAAAAAAAATGATAAAATTAAAAGACTGAAAGAACCAAAGAAGAAAGCAAAGCGCTCACACAACAGGATATCCTTTGAGTCTTTTTGGAGTCTTCTCCACGCTTCACTTCTTTGTCTACCCTTGATGCTTCTGTTAAGGCAGCTTTCTCCCATCAAGTTCCCTCCAGATGTTTTGGAACTAGAATTCCCAGGTTTCTCTTTGACCATGCTGGCTGGGAAGGATGGGAATTACAGTCCCAGCAGATCTGGAGGTCACCACATGGAGGGAATGGCCTGTGAATATGCATATCTAATACCTTGTTGTGGGATTAGGATCTAACTTGGCTTGCTCTGAGGGACAACCTGTCCAATAGTTCTGGCTCGAGGTGGACTACTTGGGCTACCTGAGGCTGCCCTTTCGCTAAGTCCTAACAGGTTTTCTGCTTTGGTCCTCTCTGTTGCTTCTTCTTTTGGCCTGGGATGGGTTTGAAGGGTATGGATTCATCTTTGTAAATAAATTTGGGGCCACCACTTGAGAGAGGGATGGGAAAAAAGCTACTGCAGCTGCTATTCTCAGCTGGATAGGCCAGATCCATTCATTTATAGGGCTGGATTTTCTGCAAGACATTTTGGGTGAAAATCAAGGATTATGGCCTAACTTGGTCAACTTTTAAGGTGCAAGAAAGGGAAACTTCCAACAATATTGACTGAATTCAAGATTATGGGTAAGCAGGAAAAATCCAGTCAAGAGGAAAAAGCTATTGTTTTACTATTGTTGGCCTTAAGCAAAACACTATACAAAAAGAGTTGCTTTTCAATGAGATGAGTGGTGACAAATTTGATATATAAATAAAAAAATAAAATAAAATAAAATAAAAGTTGGCTGGAGGGGGTCTCTTCCCAGGCACTCCAAATGCCACAATACATTTTGTCCCAATTAAATAAGGCTTTTACCTTCTGAAAAACCTGCCTTTTTTAATTTTTAAATTTATTTTTTTAAAAATTTAATTCTTGCTTTAACCTGTTTTTCTTCATTGGTTTAAAAATGCCTTTATAAAAAGATCTTCAGATGGTTACCATGTCATTCACACCCCGGTGGGTTGCTGTCTTAAGCAGAGTACAGCAGGGTGAAATGGAGTGCTGAATTTTGGCCCAGGCCTTCTGCATAGGTCTGCTCTTACTGCCTTTGGGGCAGTACAACGGAGCTTGGAAGAGAACCAGCTTGGTAATATCATGCAATAACTCATTTGGGCCCAATCCTCTCCTTTCAACATTAATCAGCAGAAAATTGAAAAAGCGCTTCCATTGAAACTATGTAAGAGAGAGAGAGAAAAAAACATGTTTATATTCCCAATGTGATACAAACTTCTTGTAAATTATGGGTTTCCTGAACAATATGTAAAGTTTTTACCATTTGTACTGTATTTCCAGTTTTTTAAAAAAACGAAATAAATACATTTCTTGTATAATTGCTGTTATCGTTTTACCGTATTTGTAAACTGGGTTGTAATAGATATTCTGGCAAAGGAAATGCCACCGTTTTAGACTAATGAGTTACACTGAATTCATTACATTTATATTTTTGCACATCAACTGAAGGTTCAGATTAGCATGCTCAGCTTGGCACCTACAGGGGCTGTCAACATCTGTAAGATGGTGGGCACAGCATCGGTCAAAGCTCTGCCCCATTTGTTTGTATGCGTGCATGTATAGACATCCCCCCTGCCTTAACACTGTTGTTAAGTTTTCTTGGTTTAATTTTGGTTATTTTTTGTGGTTTATGCAAATCCGGACTGCTTGGTCAATTTATGATTCAGTGTATTCAACAAATCCAGAAAATGTTCAGTATCTAGATTAAATATATTTTGTGCAGATTAGGCAGAGCCATCTAGCAAGCGTCCACAGCTGAGAAGAGACTTGGACCAGGGTCTTCCCAGTCCAAACTGGTCTTTGAACCACTGTATTGTACATACATATGCAAATATATTTGGCATGACAATGCATTGGGGAAAACAACAACAGCTGTATGTGTGCTGGAGATCCGTCCACTCAGAGCTGAATGGTATTGGAGGTCATCTGGGCGAAACCCTGCAAGAAATTTGCTCCTTCACAAGTACATCCAGGTTCTCCTTAGGAAGTTCCACTAAAAGAACGTCTGTCCCCATCTTTCAGAGCAGATGCCTGATAAGCAAATGAAATTTTGTTTAGTCAAAATTTCCTTTCAAATATGATGATATCTACAGAAAAATCCCTGGTAGAACTTGGACCCACCATACTGTTTCCTTTTAGGGTGAACAATTTTAGTCTGAATGTAGAAAAAGAGGAAGAAAGAGAGGTTAAAGAAAGTTTAAAGTTAAAAAAGGAAATGTGGTTAAAATTAGTTTACACAATTCACTATTGTGCTCAAAACCTTTCAATCCTGAATCATTTTTGCTTCCAACAGACCCATTCACCACTTCCTCCACTATATTTATTTTTAAACCTTCTTCTCATCTTCTTTTTCACAATCTCATCAGCAAAATTCCACCACAACTTTTTCAGTCTTCCTCTTCTTCTTGACCCATTTACTTTTCTTCCATATTCTTCCAAACCACCTCATTGTGTTTCTTTCGTCCCGGTCATTCACTTTTCTAGTCAAAGCACTTTCCATCAGGACTCATTCATTCTTGATCTTTTCTTCTCAGCTTTTACCCCACAGACTTCTTAAGCACCCTATTCCAGTTGCATTCGTCTGACCTTAAAGTTCCTCCTGGCATATCAAACTCAGCTCTGTCTAACAAGTGGGCAGAAGCACACTCTCAAACACAACCATTTTCACTTATTTTGACAAACATTCATTCTTCACAACAGACAATATACCACCCACTATTTTTCTACCAGCATTTGCATGTCATAAAATTTCTTCAGCCCTATTTTCCTCTTTTGTAAACATTCTGCCAAGATACACAAATTCATCCCCTTTTTCTAGTTTTTCATCATTTAAATATCACTTGCAATCATTCATTTCGTTTTCCTTGTGAAACACAGTCACCTTGGTCTTTGATGCATTAATGTTCAGATCCCTGCTCCTTGTCATATCACACAATCAGTCTAACATTTTCTGCAGGTCATTTAGATTCCCAGCCAACAACACGGGGACATCTGCATGGAAACATACATGCAATTCACATTCCCAACTAATGTACCTCTGACCTTTATCTATAAATACATTAAACAAGAGTAATATCAGATATCCTTGTCTTATTCCTTGCTCAGTGGGGAACCACTGGTTAAGCATTCCATTTATTCTCATGTGTGCTTTACTTCCATGATATCTTATCACGTTCGGCAGCCAGCCTTTAATTTCTATTTGTGCGAAGCTTTCCATAATTCAGACTTATTCACTTTATTATTCCCTCATCTCTAAATCAACAAATGTACAACAAATCTTTCGCACATTCGTACATTTTTCAGTGATGCACTGCATCAGCCTTGTCCCCACCCCTCACCCCCGGCATGGCATAAAAACACATTGCACTCCCCAAATTTTGTTGATGCCCACCTTTTGGACCCTTTTCATCAAAGTTCTGTCAAACACCTTCCCAGGAATACTCTGCAAACTCACCGCCCTGGAATTTCTGCGTTCCCTCTTGCTACTCTCCCTTGTAGAAGGGAACAGCCATGCTGGCATTCTTCCAATCATGAGCAAAGATGCCGTAATCATTGCACACTCAAAACCAGCAGCACAGCCACTCCTTAGGCAAAGCCCATCCAGATGTTAACATTTCTCCCATTATACCATCCATATCTGTAGCCTTACCATTGTTCAACACTCTCACAGCATTTATAAACGATTTTTCATCAATCTTTTCTTGGATGCTGACATTTACAGCATTCATTACAGACCCACTCTTCAAAATATCCCCGTCATTCTCCTACAGATCTCTGGAACAGCCCTTCCAGCACTTCCTCCCTTGGATGCAATCCCAAACCATTTCATCACTTTTATTTTTAACTCAGTTCACTCGGCTGGAGTCTCCTGGTTTAGCCAGCAGAAGAATTTCCCTCAGAATCATTCTGTATTCTCCCTACTTTTTAATTCTCACTCTTCCTGGCAACCAGATTCTTTGCATATGCCATCTTTCCTCAGTCCATATCAATGTTTTTCAACCTTGACAGCTTTAAGATGTGTGGACTTCAACTCCCAGAATCCCCCCCCCCCC